ATGTTTAATATGACCTAATGAGGAATGTGGATGTTAAAAGCTAATTTTAAAATAGTCTTCATTATAAAATATATAATTAGCATAACTGAAGAAAAGAATAGGTGTGTTTAACTTTGAATTTATTTATTTATTTTTTTTTTTGAGACAGAGCCTCAAGCTGTCACCCTGGGTAGAGTATAGTGCCATCACAGCTCACAGCAACCTCCAACCCCTGGGCTCAAGTGAGTTTCCTGCCTTAGCCTCCCAAGTAGCTGGGACCATAGGCGCCCATCACAACACCTGGCTATTTTTTGGTTGGAGCCGTCGTTGTTTGGCAGGCAGGGCTGGATTCGAACCTGCCACCTTAGGTGTCTGTGTCTGGCCCCTTAGCTGCTTGAGCCACAGGTGCTGAGTCACTTTGAATTTATTTATTGCATCATTTTCATAGCAAAATGTTCTAGGTAAGATGGCTTAGCGCCTATAGCTCAAGCGGCTAAGGCGCCAGCCACATACACCAGAGCTGGTGGGTTCAAATCTGGCCCAGGCCAACCAAGCAATGATAACTACAACCAAAAAACAGCCAAGTGTTGTGGCCGGTGCCTGTAGTCCCAGCTACTTGGGAGGCTGAGGCAAGAGAATCGCTTGAGCCCAGGAGTTGGAGGTTGCTATGAGCTGTGATGCTATGGCACTTTACCCAGGGCAATAGCTTGATGCTGTGTCTCAAAAAAAAAAAAGTTCTAGGTAAGATATCTTATGTGTGCTACTTTGCATATTTGAGGTTAATAGTTACCTCACAATTATTTGGGTTAATGGTGAAATTTTTGGTAGGATAACCACAAATAATGGATCATTGATTTTGTAAATGTGCTTCTAGTATACATCTACATAAACTTCTATTTTTTCTTTATTTGTGAATAGATGATTTATTTTTTATTTTATTTTATTTTATTTTTGCAGTTTTTGGCTGGGGCTGGGTTTGAACCTGCCATCTCTGGCATATGGGGCTGGTGCCCTACTCTTTTGAGCCACAGGCACCGCCTCAGAATAGATGATCTTTTTTATTGAGGTGTGTTACAAACCATAAAATTTATATTTTTAAAGTGTTCAGTTAGTGGGTTTTAGTATATAGACAAAGTCATGCAACCATCACCATGGTCTAATTCTAGGATATTTTCTTCACCCCATAAAGAAACCCTATAATTAGTAGTCAGCCTCCATTGCCCTCTTCTCACGGCCTTTGGCAACCACTAACCTACTTTCTGTTTCTTTGGATTTGCCTATTCTGGAGATTTCTTTTTTTTTTTTT